AGTAAGCCAGCTCAGATCCATGGAGACAGCATGGAGCATGTGGTTGACTAAGGAGCTCATGATACGATTTGCATTACTTATTTGCATCTGAGAACCAAGCGTCCAACAACAGTCACTGTTTTTTCTTGAGTTTGATTGTGGCACTAAACGGAGTGGAAAATGTATCTGGAGAAGGTCTTCACCATGACAGATAATGAAGTTCCCGACACGATGCCAACATCTTGTGTGCTGAGCTATTTCTGTTGCTTTGAAGGGACAAGTTATATGATAACATTTAATGAGGATGCTGAGTGATATTGAGCACCCCCAGAATACATGGGTAATGAAGCCCAGAATGAGGAAGCACGTCCAATTTTCACTTAGGCAAAATAATTCAGAAACTGTGTCTTTTTGTTCCTGTCAGTATCTTCATGTTTTAAAATGTTATTAAAGTTGAATGTGATTTCATATAAAAAGAGTAAACCCCTATACCAGAGTAACCTAAGTATTTGACCAGTTGCATGGTCAGATATAGACTGGCATTTTCCATTGTACAATTTAATGCAGACTTAAGCCATTTAATGATGCACCATGATAGAGCACCAGAATCATCAAAAATAGTAAGCTGATTAGGCAGGGATCAGAAGAAATTGTCTACACATAATAGAATATTTTTAGTAGAGAGCATTATGCAATGCTGTAGATTGTTAATGGAAAGAGGGGCAGAAATAATGGACTGATGTACAATCTGATCCAGAGTTTCCAAAGACAAGGCGAACAGAAGAGGTGGATGTACTACAGGCATCCCTGACAAGTCTTCCCTAGAAAAAGACACTGGGAAGATCACTTGCTGCCTGTCAATGTGTTTGTTGAAGGGGTGGAAAATACATCTGACCATACTGATGAAACCTGAAGCCAAATCCATATGATCATGGACCAATTACATATATTCGCATCCAAGCCAGTCACAAACATTCTCGGAGTCCAGAGAAAGAAAGGTACAGGGTGAGGCAATGACTGTATGTGTGTATAATTCATGGGGGATGGCAAACACTATCAGCCATTTTTTATATAGCCTGTCTGATCATGGTGTTCTAATTTGATTGTATAAGCCTCCAGCTGGCATGACAGTACCCTAGCATACAGCTTGGCAGCAGAGCAAATCAGAGAGACGGGACGACAGCTATCAAAACAATTCTTCTCTTCAGACAGACTTCAAAATATTCCGATACTTGGCAGAGACATGGGTTTTCCTTAAGGGCCAAAACACGCTCAGCACAACATTAAATTACACATTCAATAAGTGTAAAAAAAAGTCTGAATTTCAAATCCCTGTCAACAGGCATTGGATTATATTTACTGTTCAAAGACTGTTATGTATCAAGATCAGGGGGCTTCATGGACCTTCAATTGCACATTATGTAGAGAATATATAAATTAATAATACATTTTTCATTTTCTTTTTCTACAAAAATGGATAGAAGCCAAATGTAAGAAACAGTTCAAGTAGCTAGCTGTGTCAGCATGCACAGGCTGCAAAGGAACATTTTAAGGTTTACTCCATGCTGAAAAGAGAAGAAAAGAAACATGTTTTGGCTGTGGAGCTTTCTTTGGGTGAGTTGACACCCTTCAACGACACCCCCTGAAATGACACCTGAAGAAGGCTCCACAACCGAAACGTTGTGTTTCTTTTCTTCTCTTTTTAATATGGAATAAATCTTTACTTGTTCAGTTGTACAAAACTGCAATCACTCCAAGATTTATGTGGAAACAAAGGGTGTACACAGGTCTGCAAAAGGGCTCAAGTGTAGTCATACTTCAAGTCTGTAAATTAATTACCATACATCTGCTGACACTAATGTTAAGACTTCTTTAAACCAACCTTAATGATGCATATCTTTAAGCTGCTCGGAGACTGAGAGACAGGTGTAAACATGAGTGCAATGTGGAGACAGTGAGCAATTTTGAACATCTTTTCAGACACCTTGAAGACCGCAAACAAAATTCCTTCAACATGGAGATGCCTCTTTCATCCTATGCATAATTACAGTAGATTTGAATTTTACACTGACCAGTTAACAGTGCCTCTCGGTCTCAGAGAGCAATGTTTCTCAGGTGACCCTACTATAATTCAAATAGGTAACAGCAAAAAAAATTATGCAAGTTCCTTTTGCTTTTTTTCTTTCCTTTAAAAAATAGCCCGAAACTATTATCTCTTTCGCCACGTACTGTAGATAGAAGAACAAACTTGACAACTTAAGCTCTTCTAAAGTCCCTCCCAGGTTGGGCTCCCAGCAGTTCCCTTTCATGTATCTGCATGAGAGAACTAGATATGTTAAGTATAACTTCTAAAAATGCGTATCATACCACACTTACTCACACCTAAAATCCATGGCTGACTTTTAATCATTACTGAAGGTCTCAGACTACTTCACATCTCATTTACATAATCCTGTTAAATGTCAGTTAAATGAGTCTTTTGCCTTTAAAGCTTCATGCTCATATTATCAGAGATTTAAGTGTCTTAGGTATGACATGACTCAGGATCAGATTAATTTCTTTACTATCAATCTTTGTAGCCATAGTTTTATTTATTACCTGAGTGTAACCACAGGTTCCATATAAAATGCCACATAGTATTTTTTATGAAATGTTAAGTCGGTGATGTTTATTTTTCTTTTTGCACGCTGGCTTGTAAATGTTCCGTCTGACTTTGAAAGCAACCAAGGAACCAGGTGTGGAGGGTCCAGCTTACTGATCCGATCTTTTAAATCAAAAAGATGCTCGTTCGCACTGCTCTTTGACATCACACAGCACAGAAACCTCAAGCTTCCTAAATGTAGTGGGCCGTGAAATTAGATTTGCTTTCCAGAAATTTATAGACCTCTTTGTTGTACAAGTTGGTGACATACCGTCTAAATCATACGTTTCTTTCAACTCAGCTCTGATTATTTCTGTCCCTGCACAACTTCACTGGGCACATGCAGTACTACCCACTGCGTGTCTGTGTGCAAGTTCCTTTCGAAACTGTAGGACATTATGGAAATATTCTCACATGCACAGCCTTTTTGGGGGTTTGAGCAAAGACTTCATGAAATACAGGGGATGTTTTCGATCATTAAAGGGCTGTAATGTTCCCAGATGCACTGTAAGGGAAGAGTTATATTTATATGCTATATTACCCTGGAAATTTAGCACTTTCAAACATCTTAAAGCACCCAAGTGGTTGAGCGTCAGGTGTTTGTTAAGCCACATATTAAACTTGTTTCTTTATTTTACTTTCCATTGCAGTGTGGGGTGATTTTTTTATTTTAGTACTTACCACATTAAATACGTCACTGGGGGAAAACGTCTGCATGTGATATGATCTAAGGATTACCCAATATTATTAGTAAAAGAAGGTATTGCAGAGTATTTTAGTTCTATTAGTTAGTTCACTGAAGGGGGGGGGGGGAGGCCAATTGCTCCTTCCCAATAATTAATAATTAAATGATACCAGTTAATGAACCCACCCCAATATTTAAGGGCTAGCTGCTAAAATATTTTACATTGGCATTACTAGAGAATAACAAAAGTTGTGGAATTACAATGGAGAATCATTGATACCTATTAGCTTAAGGGGAAAAAAACTGATGGTTGACATTAGGCATTTCAGGTGTATATCCAATATCTTTCATACAGTTTTCTAAGACCAACATCAGTGAGGTCCTCAAAACCACACAAGCCATGTAATGCATGCACACTGCACCAATGAACCACAGCAATGACAGTTGCTAAAAGGAGGGTTACTGTAAAAATGTCAAAGTACAGGACTCAAAATTATACAGCAACCAAGCCTACAGAATGTGGGAAATGTGAGTCACAGTGAAAGAATCTTTACACAGGCTTCAACCAGTGGATAGGGATTATACTAGAGACTCATAAGCTTGTTAAAGACGTTTTCTACTGAGTCAATTATTATGGCCTGGAATGTGTCTAAAAACTAATCATTGTGTGTGGCCTTGTTTCCTTGCAAGCTATGGAGGTATCAGAAGGGGCCTTCAGTCCATGAAAAGACCAGCCTATCACCTTTGCTATTCTAGTCATTGTTGTTCGAGGGAAGCTGTATCTGTGCACACTTGGAATCTATAATCCCGAGGCGTCAACAATAAAAGAAGTAGAACGCTCCGAAATTTGCCAAGGCCAAATGTTCAAGTTTCCATAGTCCACCTCTTTGGAAATCTTACAAACAGGGGAGACAGATGTAAACAGCACTGTGCCTCGTACAGTATGTTCTCAATATATCTACTGTACTGTATATGCACAGTTGTTGGAAATGTTATTTGGGGTTAGCAACAACGAAGGCTTTTAGAATATTTTCATGGAATTTCTCTGAAACAAAAAATAAGAACTATTTATTTTTTAAAAGAAATCCTACTATTTTATTTAATAATAATTAAAAAAGAATAGCATATGGCCGGAAGTGTCTGAGTGTGTGTTGCAGACGGTTCACCAAAGATCTGGCAATTACCTTTTTAATCCGGTTGGATTATTAATTGAAATGTCCTGCTCATGAAAATCCTGCAGTGTAAAACAGCTACAGTATTTTGTCTCTACACAATAACACATTATGAGCATATCAAATTATAGAGATTTTGTTTTAGGAATATTAGACACACACTGTACAGTATATCTCCCCAAAATTTTAATTTCCACAAGTATTACTCATAAACACATGAGAACATCAGCAGATGTAATAAGGGTTTACAGTGTTGCAGAGTGCAGGTTTCTCTGTAATACACTTCCCTGAAAGGACAGAAGAAAATCTTAACAAGCAGCTAAGAGACCTGAGTACTGTGATAGCGCACCACAGCTACAGCAGCTTCTACAGGCAATGAACACCCTGAAGAGGTACTGCAGCCTGCTGCTTGTACACATAATCATGAAGAAGACAATTGTACGGGTTCAAATCTGTACGAGAAGCACCCATTAATGAACCACCTCTGCCAAACCTTCAATACTGGCAGATGGACAGTACTCACCTGGTCAGGAGAGGGCCGGTGGTTGGCGTGGGGGGGCCGCGCTGGGCCGCGGTGGTGTGGGTGGTGATGGGGGTGCGAATGGGGGTGGTGATGAAGGTGATGAGGGTGAGGATGATGAGGATGGTGATGGTCGTCATCGTAGTTGTCAGCCATCAGCTTCATTCGATTCTGCGTCTGTGAGGAGAGAGAAAAACAAACCCTTCAACTCTGCAGCACGAAACGTAATTCAAGATGTCCATGAAAGTCTTCATAACTGATAAACATAGCCTGATTAAACACAACACAAAGACATATGCAGGATTATGGCTTTTAACAAACTGACTCAAACAGTAAATACCCTTGTGTCAATAAGTATGTGAACCCTTAGATTCAGTAACACTATGCCTTTTTTTCTTATGTATCATTTTTCAGGAATGTTACATCCCCTCTGTAAATCTAGACTTTTACTGATGCAAGCAATACTGATTTTTCAACGTACTGTAGGTACAGTATAGTAGCTTCAAAAAGCTGTACACACTATGCTATATTAAGAACCCAAACATACACATAACAGTATCAGAGGTAGACTTACAGTACTTTCACAAAAAAGGCTTGGAAACTACTTTTCAGAGTTACAAATACAGTTTTACAAAAACTGAGGTTCAGATTTTTCCATATATTTACATATTGTACTATGCATTTTGAGAAATATTTCTTTTAAACCAATGCTTGTGTAGCACACTCCAACAATTAAGTGATCAACAAAGACATTTTGTTCAGAAAAAACATAGTTTTCATTTCATTTGGATGGTGATAAGTACCATGATTTGATTAATTCCATGGCAAAAATTACTACAAATGTTTTCTAAAAGCATCATAGGGTATATAAATACTATAGATTAATGGTAGCAATTTTTCTCTGTTATTTTCATTACCATTAATGCTTAACATATAAATATACTTTGAGTGGCTCAACATTCAAAGTGGCCTTTAGCTTATTTATATAGTTCCAAGAATAATTGCAACTGTAAGTGTGTGCCTTATACATCACAGACTCAAAAAGCTATTATTCAGTTCTTTAAATAACTTTCATATAGCACTCTTTGTACACTCCTTAACAATATGGATGTGAGTTTTACAAATCACTTCCTTGTAGAATTAACATCATGTATGTTTGGAATTTCTCTAAACTTTGAGAAAATAAAACAACCCTATAATCCTAAACCTTAAATTGTGCATGGCCTGTTTTATTAAGTTTGATTTATTGTAAGAAACCGAAATCTCTTCTTCGGTGACCTCACTATATATTTGAAAAATAACATTTGTAAAAGCTTCTTGAGCCAGATCGGGCTGGATGCGAGCCTCATTTGAAGAGATTGGCTAGGAGACACCGCATGCAAGAGCACACTGGGACTACAGAGCCTCTTCCACAGCCCTGTTCAGGCCTGGGGACAACTCCTGGGGTGAGGGTAGCTAGCAAGGACTGTTGAAAACAATAAATAATCTTTGAATGGTAGCAAATAAAAATAAAATGTCTAAAGTTCACTTCAGTTTCTTTGTCATGTGCACAAGTGCAATGAAATGCTTACTGTGTATGGTGAATATACTGTACTATGCATGCAAACACACATGAAACAAGGAACAAGGAACAAGGAACAGGTACAGTAAAGGTTTATTCCATGCTGAAAAGAAAAGAAAAGAGACTCAACCTTTTGGTTGTGAACCCTTCTCAAATCGAGGTCACGGTCTAGGTCATGACCTGAAAAGGGCTCCACAGCCAAAACGTTGTGTCTCTTAGATCCCAGGTCACCTGCGCCTTAGTGAGATAGTCCCGAGTGAGGATCAATAGAAGAGGTTTGCTCAAGGAGAACAGTGCAACTTAATGAGAATGATAGATTTTTACTGCTACGTTGTACCAGACTAAACCCTGGCTCTGAACTCTATTAGTACAGCAGCTCAGTAAATGTCCAGACTGTTTAAACATGGTTTTATATGGCTAAAGGACCTTGGAGGGGGTAACATGGTGCTTCATTAAATACAGAGCACTTCCTTCCTTTTAACTGCAGAACAGAGCTCGTGGCATGTGCCCAGCTGAATGTCCCCAGTATGCGTGCAAATATTAAAAACACCTTGTTTGCATACATCTATTATGTGAATCCAAAATGCTCCAAAGTTCAAAAAACAAAACCCATGTTATGAAGGGCAGAGTGAAACACTTACTCCACATGATTGTTGTTTTATTTGTGACTTCATGTAGTGTTGAAGGAGCCCAGTACCGTTGTGCGTGATTGAGTGCTGAGAAGTTTTGGACTCACAGCTGCGATTTATTAAAGCGTGATTTTTTTTTCCAAAGTAGCAGTGGCAAAAGTGTCTCTTTTAATGAGGTGCTGGGAGTTAGTGGTGTCGTGGGAGCAGAACTGTAAATACAGTCTCTATAAGGGGTATGAACCTATGGACTGGAACTGCATGTGGCTCTTTCCTGGAGGCTTTGAGGAACTTTTATCGTCTGCAAAACCACAAGGCTACCACACACGAACAGCCCTGGGATATTGATAAGCACAGAAAGACCTCTGTTATGCTACATTCTGTCGGCTGTCTGAGCAAGCAGGAGGACAAAGTGTAACCTGACAATCTGAGCAAAAAAGGTATTGAGTGGGAAATGTTGAGGTCTTCCTGACCCAAGGAGCACATGCATGTAGTCCCAACATGAACTACAGCTCTCGAAACCTCTCGACTTGATAATGAGCTTCTCAGAGTGCAACTTTCCTCTTCTCCCCTATCCCACATGAAAACAGCTGAGCACTGAGCACAGTGATGTTTAAAAGCAACCACAAAAATAAAACAGCTACTTAGGAAGACCAGATGCATTATATGAACTTTTGCAGCACACCACATCCTTGATGACTATCTGTAATAAACAAATCATGCAGTTATTAAACTTAATATTCCATGAAGTGACATGACAGTTAAAGAGGAAACTGTGTACTAAATCAGCCCATAGGTGGATTTCTCTCTCATAGAGGAGGTTGTACAGCAAACTAATGAGCTGCGCAGCTCGCATTGGAAACAATCAGAACTACACTGGGGGGCCCCCAAAGCAGCCAGTGACATACTGTATATAGCCCTCTCATTCAAATCCTCAAAACAAATGCAAATCATAAAGATTAAGGAAAGAAACACACTGCAATAGAAGGAGCACCTGAAAGCCAGGAATTCAAATGCAGTGGTGCTGATGATGTTTTGCAGAGTGGCTAAAAATCTATGAAGACATTTTATTTCTATGCCCCATCACCATCTCTCCCCCTGTGCCACCATACAATTGTAAATTTGGTGACTATTTACATGAATGGGGCTAAAAGTGTTCAAGCTACTGTACTGTATGTGTTCATAGCTTGTTCATAACAAAACATGCTATAAAACTTGCATAAAAACCATACATCAAAATATCATTTTGAATTAACATTCCAAGGCCACTGGTTACTGTATCTGAAGAAAGTTCTTGTCAGTTCTGTAGTCTTTAAAGGTCTAGTTAATAAATTTCATCTGTCTTGTGTCTGCCTGGAGTTTTGTTATTTGCTTCTATCTTGTTATGAACTATTACAAATAACTGTGTGTCTGTAATGCCATTTGCACAAAAGGTTGTGTGACATGCATAGTGTTTATGATAAGGAATTTTAGCTTAATTCTAATAAAAAGTGGTTACAATGAATGTTTCCCCCTATCATCATATTTCATAACACAAACGGACCAGAAGCTATTTGGAAAAAGGATTACTCAGCTAACTAATGAACACAGTTCTGGATGTGATGATGATGATGCAAGTTTATTAAGAAGGACTCTTCGAAATGACCTACTTGTGTGATGTGGTACTTGGTAACCACAGTACAGGATAAAGAAATTTGTAAGAAGCCCCAGTGTCAAGAAAAATTCCACTTCACATCCTTCAACTGGGTCGATTCAAACCTCTTATGCCACCTGCAATATTTCTCTTGCACTGGGAAGACATTCTTTCAAACAAAACATAACTTTCCAGCCATTCTTTCCTGTTGAAGTACTAAACAAAGCAGTCTGTTTCAATTTAATGGCCTGCACAATAAAAGGAGAATACTCAAAGCTGGTTTGTAACAGACTGACTTTTAAGATTATTTATGTTATTATTTATTGTTTCTTTTTTTCTGGATGGAAAACTATTTGAAGAGTCCATTAGAAAATGCAAGTAACTTTCCAACATAAATTAAGCTTGATAATTCACTTTTTCCATAATAATCCTCCCATATGGCAAGAATCTGCTGTTGCTGAAAGTGAGTGCCAATCTCATCAAAACAGCTTCTTATCCAAGATCTACAAAATAATGCTCCTTCACAAACCTGTGATCAGATTTAAGGTCCTTTGCAAGATATAACCTCTGATTGATCTTGGCATGCAGCGGAAACAAGATCAAATTACAAGTAAAAAACGATTCTAGAATAAAAATGTTGAAAAGAGCTTTTAAAACACAAGAAAGCAGAGTGTAATACTCAGCACACCGTAACTAGCAGTGCTGGAACTGAGAGTGGTGTTTCAAGCCAATTTTCATCAAGGTATCAAAACACCATCTAAATCTACAGAGCAATATAACTGGATTACATTCCAATTCAAGGTACATCTGGTCCTTTCAGATTCTAAAAAGTAATATCGAAAGAAGAATGGAAACAATCTACAGAAATTGCATTCTTACCCTAGAAGGCAAACCACCCAAGCCTTATATTTTAACTTATTCCCTTATCACTTGATGGCCCTGGGCTTCCTACTGTACCTCAGCTGTATTCCATAAAGGAATGCCAAACCTAAACAGGATGATGTATGGAATACTGAAAGTGTCTCTTTTAATGAGGTGTTAGGGATTAGCCATGTCACAGGATAAGAACTGTAAATGGATGATGTCATACATCCAATTCAGTCGTGGAATATAAATAAACCACTTCTAACATTTCTTCCTTTTGAAGGCCAACACTCAACGTTATGTACACAAAGCAACTGGCACTACGATGGCAGGCTCTCTTCTGCTCCTCTGGATCACAGGGAACGCAAAAGCAACACACGGCGAAGGCGGAAAACGACCACATGTTGACCAGGCCTCTCCTCTCTCGATTTGTCTGGCTCCCTAATTAGCCACATCTGCAGGAAGGCGCAGCTCAACAGACAATGCACGGTGC